TTGATCACTATAGTAAAATAACTTCTTTTTAAATAGTTAACCTTTAGCAAGGAGAACAAAGAATACTTTTAATTCCACAAAGGAAAGATGATACAGTGGAAAGAACAGAGCTTCAAGTAAGGCAGCTTGCCACTTTTTAGCACGTAGGAGAGAAAAAACACACAAAAAAATTAAGAATAGCAACTATACAATAGCAACAAAAGCAATAAAATTCTTAGAAATAAAGTTAACAAAAAAATGTCAAAAGCTTGTGTAAATAAAACTCCTGAGTCACAAAAATTAACTTGAACAAATGGAAAAGACAACTTCTATTCCTGTATAATTGAATATCACAAATAGATTAGTTGTTACTAATTTATAAAATTAATGAAATTCCAATTTAAAATATCAACACCTTTGTTATGGAATTAGCCAAAATGATACCCAAGTTCATACAGAAAAATAAACATTCAAGAATAGTTAGAAAAACACGAAAAAGAAAAGTTTCATGGGTGAGTTAGCCCTACCAAAGAAACAAACAAACAAAAACATTTAAAGCACGGTAATTAAAACGGTGTGGTACTGACATAACAATATGCAAATAACATACTGGAACAGAATGAGAAGTCCAGAAATAGACCAAGCATGTGGAAATTTAGCATATATTAACAATGGCATCTTAAATCAGTGCAACAAAGATAGAACTTTTAATAAATTGTACTAAGACAACTGGTTAATGATATGGAAAGAATAAAAATTAGATTAATCACTCACACCATAAACAGGAACAAACCCCATACAAAGGAATAAACTTCAAATGAATCAGAGATCTAAATATAAAAAGGGAAATCTTACCAAGTACTAGGAGAAAATAAGGGTGAACGCTTTACCTGAGGAAAAGGCTTTTTTTCTATAAGGAAAGGCTTTATAGTGAAAAGGCTTTCTAACCATAACTTAAAATCTGGATATAAGAAAACAGTTAAGTCTGACTACATGGAAGGGGTAACTTTTACATGGCAAAATATAGACTATATAAAATAAAAATACTACTCATATCACAGATAAAGACTAAATTCATAATAAAGTCTTCAGAGTTAAGACAAGAATACCAAATATCTATTTTAAAAATGGGCCAACTAAAAAGACAATTCACACACAAATAATAAAATGGACAGTGAACAGATGAAAAGATGGTAAAATACATCCACAATAAGACTATAAATTAAACTACCATCTACTAGACTGGCAAATATTGAAAAGTAAAACAATGCATGTTGTCAAAGCTGTGGGGAAATAGGGACTCATATTCCTGGAGTGAATACAAATTGGTATAACCCTTATGGAGAAGAATTTAGCAATATCAAACAAAGCTGCATATGTGTTTATGTTTTGATTGATCAGTCCTTCTTTCTCTTAATCTACACTGAAGATATACATCTAATTTAAAAAGGACGTATAAAAGGTTTTCCTAACAGCACTCTTAGAGATTTACAAAATACTAAAAAGAAATTAAATATCCACAATGAAAGAATGGTCGAATCAATGCTGTAATGCTATCCTATATAACAAAGAATATGTAAATTAACTCTCATGTCCTCACAAGATGGCTGCCTAAAAGACAGAGCTTTTGACACTGACTGGCATAGAAACCAACCAATCAGAACCAAATCTGAGTGAACTGTGAGGAACCAATTGACTGCCTACGAGGCAGAGTTTTTGACGCTGACTGGCATAGAAACCGACCAATCAGAACCTAATCTGGGTGAACTGCAAAGGCAGAAGCTACAGTGGGGCTTAGGAGGGGTTTTAAGGGCAACAGCTGTTTGATGTAAGGTGTAAGAAAGTGGTTCAAATTTTTAATGACCATTTTGACAGTATAGTGCATATGGCTGGCTATCAGTCCAAATATAAAGAATTATGTATTTTTGTCTACCAAGAGCATCTCCTCCTGCTGAAAAAGCCCCTCCCCCCATTTAAGCAATCATATCCTATATAATCTCTTTATACTAATAAAAGGGTAATATGCTAATTAGACCAGGTAAACCAGCCATTTTCTGGACGCCTGACTTCCTTCTGGACAAAGCCATGGTGGTGGGGGCCAAGGCAGAGGCAGTTAGGGGCAATCAGGCTGGCAGGGGAGGGCAGTTAGGGACCATCAGGCAGGCTGAGACAGTTAGAGGTGATCAGGCCAACAGGGAAGAGAAGTGAGGGGCGAAATCAGGCTAGCAGGGGAAGGCTGCTAGGGGCAAGATCAGGCTGGCAGGGGAGGGCGGTTAGGGGGATCAGGCAGGCAGAGGGGTTAGGGGCAATTAGGAAGAGGCAGTTAGGGGTGATCAGGCAGGCAGGTGAGCAGTTAGGAGCCAGCAATCCCAGATTGCAAGAGGGATGTCTGATTGGAGAAGGTGCAGGCTGGGCTGAGGGGGACCCCCTCCCCTTTTTATAGCTGCACTGGGCCACTAGTGCAGCTATAAAAAGGATATGCAATGATTCACAGGAACTATAACTAAGAGAAAAAGCAAAGTACAAAAGAATATCTCTAATATATTCTCTACCTTTCATGTAGGAAAGAAACAAAGAAAATTATTCTTAACTGCTCATTTGTGCAAAAGAAACCCAGAAGAAAAAAAAAATGAGATTGGCCATTTACAGGAGTGAGCACAAACAAGACAGAGGGAATACGAGGGAAAAACACTTGTATATTTCTGACTTTTGGAACCAGGTTAGTGTTTCAAAGATTTTTTTTTTTAAATAATAAAAAAGAATGGAGATAAAGTTCTAAGAATGGATAGATACATACAGAAACAGATGAACCAAATTATATTTCAAATGAATAATATAACTATTCTAGCAGGAAAAAAAATTTACATTAAAAAAATAAAAATAAATTTAAAAAACAAGACTGAACCAATTCAAATGTCTCTGAACAGAATATATGGGTTTGATACAGCAATGTTAAAATGTAATAAAGCACTCTGGAGTCAGACTGCTTGGATTTAAATACTTGTCCATTTATCCAGGTGTTAAGTGTGATCCTGGACAAGTTACTTTATCATGTCTTTGTGCACAGTTTGCCTAATCCAAATAATAACCAATCTCATAATACTAATGTTATGTCTCAAATAAAATCACACATGTAAAAACATTAGATCATGATGCATATGAGAAGTACTTGGTATTTGCTATCATCAACTACTAATCCAAAGAAATCATTGCATATGTGGGTATTCAAGAGACACAGATACTAAAAATGGAGTCCTTGTCATGAAAAAAATTTGGAAATTTTCAAGTGTTCAAAGAATTTAGAATAACAAAATCCATATGGCTGGCTGGAATCATCTGGGAAATTTCATAAAGAAAGAAACTGACATATGTCTTAGACTTAGATAGCAGAAGAATGGGAGTGAAATAGGAAAATAATGGAAATCTGAATAAAAGCAGAGAGGTCATAAAGACCAATATAGGTCAAGAGCCATGACACAGAAAGGTTGGAAAGCTGAGTATCTGAAGATTAGGCAAGACTATGGATGCTCCTGAATGTATAATTGAATGGGGCAGGTTTTATTTTCTATGAGGAACCATAGAAGATTTGTATGTAAGAGAAACAACATGTCCAAACTGAACTGTGGGATTATTTTAGTGTTGGTAGTATATAGAAGGGATTAGAAGGAAGAAGATCAGAGGTAGAGTCTTATGAGTGGTTAAGGCAAACAATTAAGGGCCTGACTAGAATGGAAATGAGGAAAGGAAAGAAGGGATCAATCAACTTTGATAATGATTGCATATGAAGTATGAGAGAATAAGTTTTAGAGAAAAGAAGACTCTGAATGACAAGATAAATGATAATGCCATTAGAAGGAAAAAGGAATTCAAATCAACAGAAATAATTTCTACTGGGTCTTAAAAGTTAAGTCAGGGTTGTATAAGAAGCCTTGCCAATTTGAGATAACATCGCAAAACTGAGATACAGTGGTGCCTCACACAACGAACTTAATTCGTTCCAGGAGCAAGCTTGTTATGCGAAAAGTTCTGTACCAAGAACCAATGGGCATTTGGCAACATGGGAGTAGTGATTGGGAGAACTGATGGCAAAAACTGTATATTTGTTTCCTAAGAAATTAAAACCACCTTAGAATGAATGTTCAAGACATTCTAAAGCATATAGACACTATCATGTGTGCTATTTCAGAGCAGTAATCTCCTCACTTTTTTTATATCCCTTAATGTTCCTAGCACACCGGGGACACACACACACACACACACACACACACACACACACACTCAGTAAAATGTTGCTGAGGTGGGAGGAATAGAGAAAGGTATAAAACTGCATGTCTTACTAATGACATAACCTTGACTATAGGCCCAGGTCTCCTGACTCTCCACTACACCATAACATAGAGATGACTTCCAAACATCCATGCATAGGATCCCTAAAGCAGTGGTCGGCAAACTCATTGGTCAACAGAGCGGCAAACTGACCACTGCCCTAAAGAAATGGTGTAAAAAATGACAATAAAATGAACTGTAGGGATTGCCAGTTTCTAGGGACAGATGGAAGGGAGACATAAGAAAACAGTAAAGAAAGATCAAAGTTATTGCGGAATGTGTGTGTATGGGAGATGACAAGAATGTGTGTGTATGGGAGATGGCAGAGTTGAATAATGGATTCAAAGGAAGCATAGTAAAAAATATCAAATGATCCTCTGCTACAGGCAATGTTTCTCTGGTCTCCTATTCCTGTGAGACCCAAGGCAGGAGAGGTAACTTTTTAAAAGTAGACAGTAAGATGTTTTAATATACCTTTCACAGCATTTTAAATGCATGCATCACTCATAGCAATAGTTCAAAAATAATAATCAATCTTCAGTAAATTTTATTTCTACACAATATATAGCAGAAAATAAAATCACTAGTAAATAGTTGAGCTGAACAAAAATATGCACAATAAATGAAATGTGAAGCAAAAAGAAACAACTTAAAATACACTGATAGCAAAATACATAAAATACTGAAGGTCTTACCTTAAATCTCTTGTCTTGCAATACTTTCTTGATGGCAACCAATTCTCCTGAATCACAAAGTTTGGCTTGATATACCACACCAAATGACCCGTTTCCAATCACTTTAGTGTCTGTATAGCTGACTTCTTGTGGCCTGTCTGGACCCTGCCCAGGAGTTGCCACTACTGTGGTCACTTTACTGCCATCCTTGTCTCCTAAAAGAAAAAAAGGTAGACAAATGAAAAATGTAAAGAATTAGAGAAAATTGCCAAAGTATACAAATTAAACTATATTTTTTGCCACAAACTATTTTCAAATGTTTATCTTAGTTTATCATAAGTAGTTACTTCAACTATTTGTTTCAATTTAATATTTCTTTCCCACCATTTATTCAGTAATTCTATAGATCAGGCACACCATGCTTTATACATGTGACTCTCTATTTAATGGAAACAACACCATGAAAATAATAGTACTATTCCCATATTAAACATAATGGGGGAAAAGGTGAACTCATTAAGGTTTGATCCCTATCTATACAATTCTAAAACCCCTAGTTACTTCCTCAAGGCTTCCTTATTGTACTTGAAAATAAAATATATGAAGCTGCAAATGTCTAAATATGCTCAGTATTCACATCACTCTGCCTGTAGGAAGGTAAGGGTTTTATTTTGCTTCTTCATGTCTTATTTCTTTTTTAAGAAAACAGTGGAATGCTTCTCAGAGGAAGGTCAGATGGAGGAAAGTAATAGGAAACAAATGTTAATTTAGGAGTAGGAAATGCAAAACCTATTCTGAACTTAAGTCTCATTCTTTAAGTATCTGCCCCGTCATGCCCTCTCCTTACCTTTTATCCTTCCTTCCCCCTGACCCCGACCCAGGAACAATCCAAAGACTCTGCAATTCAAGCTCAAGAGCCACTTCCTACTTGGGCATAGTTCACAATAACCTTTTCCTCTGAATTCTTAATCTACTCTAAACCATCCTAGCTAACTAGCACCTGATTTTAGAGCTCTACATTATTCTGTTATTGATTTCAGAATACATACAGATTCTTGTGACTACAATCATTTGAAGTAGCAATTATGATTTCTGCTACTTCTCTCTTCCCTGACAAATCTAAAACCAATTCTCAGTACAATATAAGTCCATAGCCTCAATGACTAAACTACACATTTTCCTTTTTGTCCTCTACTACTTTAATTATCAATTTTATTTTTAAGATGCTAACCTAATAAAAGAAAATATAATGTAATATTTAACTCTAGAAAGCAAGTCAAGATTATGAAGTATTCATTTGTACATTATATATAAAAAGATAAAAAACTAGATTATAAAATATAATCTAGTTTTCTAATAGCTTGAGTGTTTTCTCCTACCAAATGTAAAAATGCAAGATAAATGAATATACAAATATTAGTGTTATATTATAACCAATATTTATAGTCATTTAAGTTCACAGAGGTACTAATATACACAAAAGTCAATAATACAGCCTCTATTATATTAAAACCAGCTAACTTTTTAAATTTTTTTATTGTTTTCAGAGAGAGGAAGGGAGGGGAGAGTTAGAAACACCAGTGATGAGAGAGAATCATTGGCTGCCTCCTGAACTCTCCCTCCCCTTCACTGGGGATGGAGCCTGCAACCCAGGCATAACCCCTGAGCTCCTGATTCCCGGGTCACACAATCTGAACCACCAAGCCACACAAGCCAGGCTATGGCCAGTTATCTTAAACATGTCTTTAGTTCCAAGGTGAACCACAACAATAGGCATGATTTAGTTAGCACAAGTGCAATACCACTTTTCTAGAAAGAATAACTTAAATCTTGTCTACATCATCATTTTTATTTACAACAGTATCATATATGTTTTAAATGTATATAAACCTGAACACAAGCCAACACATATATAACAGTTCTCAAGGTTTTCAAATGCTCCCTTCACATCTCACTTTCAAGTAAAAGAAATCTTAAATACACTGGCTAAAAAACTAGTTTAGCCTCAAGGACATGTACATTGGTTGCAGTCTTGATCCCTGGCCCTGGTCGGGTGTGTGCAGGAAGCAACCAATTGATGTGTCTCTCTCACATCAATGTTTCCATCTCTCTGTTTCTCCCTCTCCCATCCACTCTAAAAATCAATGGAAAATTATCCTCAGGTGAGGATAAAAAACAAACAATTTAATTTAAGCTGAGTTCTAAGTTATCAGGCTCCATTGCCCCAAAATACGCTATTACTTTTGTTTCTGACCACGTTAACTGTAACTCAATTTTTCAGGTTGACTATAAACTTACCTAATAAAGGGGAATATGCTAATTGACCATCAGTCCATCACAAAGATGGCTGCACCCACAGTTGAAGCCAAGTTCCCATAAGGAGACTTAAAGAGCAATCAGTAGGGACCTGAAGCTATGCCCTCCCCCGCCCCTGTGGGGCTTGACAAGGGACCTCAAGGTGCGCTTCCCATCCTGGTGCTGGGCTAGGGGACCTTAGGCTGCTCCTCCCCTCCCCCGCCCCCCCAACGCCAAGCCAGGGGACCTCAGGCCAGTTCCCCCGCCCCAGCACTGGACTAGGGACCTGAGGCTGCACCCCCATGCCTGGTTGTGCTTGATGGGATCTCAGGCCATGCCCCCCACCCAGCAGGGCTTGACAGGGGACCTCAAGGTACACCCCCCAGTGCTGGGTCTGGGGAACTCAGGCCATGCCCCTGCCCAGTGGGGCTTGATGAGGGACCTGAGGCTGTGCCCCACTGCTGTTGCGTCTTGACAGGGGACTTGAGCCAGTGCTGGGCTGGGGGACCTGAGGCTGCGAGAGCCCCTCAATCCCCCCCTGGCGGAGCTCGACAGGGGACCTCAGGCCATGCCCCCGACCCAGTGGGGCTTGACAGGGGATTTCGGGCCATGTCCCCCACCTGGCGGGCTTGACAGAAGACCTCAAGGCACACACTCCTGGCCCAGTCTGGGTTGGGGAACCTCTCAGGCCATGCCCCCCATCCTGATGCCAGGCCAGGGGACCTGAGGCTACCCACCTCCCCGGCAGGGCTTGACAAGAGTGGGACTGGCTGGGTCTGAATCTAGCCCAATGGGGGTAGAGTGGACCGGTTGGGTCTGGGTCTCACACGATTTTGAGGTACATGTGGATGGGTGGGGACTTGACTCTGGGTCCCATGGTGAGCCCCAGACTCTGAGAGGAGGAAGGGTTTCATATACATTTTACTAATTTTCTTTCATCTCTGGCACTTCTATTATAGAGAAGGGGCAAATAGAATATTAAATTATTTCCTCTAATTAATCCCCTTTTAATGTGCACGAATTTCATGCACCAGGTCACTAGTATACTACTAGAGGCCCGATGCATGAAATTCATGCAAGAGTAGGTCTTCCTTCCCCTGGCTGCCATCATCGGGACTCCAACTTCCCTCTGCCGCCAGTAGGTATCCGGGACCCAGGCTTCCCTCTGTCTGCTGGCAGGCACCCAGGAGCTGGGCTTCCCTCACAGCCCCAGTTTTGTCCAGAAAGTTGTCCAGGAGGATGTCTGGTCTAATTAGCTTATTATACTTTTATTATAGATAAGTTATTTTCTTATTTTTTGAAAAATAAACTTGTATGATAGCACTCCTAAAGAGAGAACCACAATCTTTTGAAATTAAACTCTACATAAAGAGATCTAGAAAGGTTAGATCCAGGAAGATTAAAATCCAAGGCATTGGATACATTTTCTTATGTCCAATAGTCCCAAAAAAAATTTCAAACAGAAGTGATTTAAGACCAGCTTTTATTAAAAAGAAAAGAACTATGAATTAATAATCTCACTGAACAAGTTGCTTGCAAAACTTCACAGGCATAAATCACAAAACAAAGCATTATTATTTTTTATTAAGGTTAAGTAAATAGATTTTAAGAAGGACTGCTGTATTCTACAATTTTAACTGAGAACAAAAGCTGTCTAGGATATAATCAAAACTTGTGCTTTTCCACTGTATAACCATATTTCAATAACAAAACAATAGTCACAGCTTTGTTCTTGCTCCGATAAGAGAATTTCAGCAATATACAATTGTGTAATGACTTTCCCCTCTTGCCTCCTCTGAGGCTGCATTTGTAAAAAAAAAAAAAAAAAAAAATTCACATTTCAGAGAAATGGTTTCAGAGTCTCAAGAATCAGCTATGACAACTATCCATCACAACCCTGGGATTTATTTTCTCTTTAACCTCAAGTATACTTGGGAACAGCAGCTACCCCCACATCATGATCTGTATATAAGATAATGCACGAATCAGATAATTCTGTAAAAATATTAAAAACAAAGTAGAAAGGTAAACAGGCAGGTCCTATAAAATCTATCACCAAAAGAGACTCTAGAGGTCTCTTAATTTAAAACTGATTGAATATAGTCAAGGACCAATCCTTTCACCTTCCTATACATTTAGTAAAAAAATAATAATAATAATATCTTAAAAATTTACTATCTTAGCAGAAATTAAAAGATTTACTCTCTTTGAAGTAGTAGAGAAATTGCTAAGAACTCTTATGGACTATACTCTACTATTATAAAATCCATAGGTATACTAGGAACAATGGCTCTCAGGCTTTCTACCTCAAAGCAACCTGGAATTTTTATTCAGAAATCATCAAGCTAAAGCATTAGATTACTCCATCGTAGATCTAAAATAGCAGAGCCATACAGAATGGCAAGTTACCACTGGGGATGACTTGGCCTGCACATTAGCAGCACATGGGATAGTCAGCAGCTAGTGTGCCAAGGAAAAACACGTCATCACTTGGCAGTGTAACTTTCTGAGTTAGCAAGAAACTAACAGCTGTATAAAATTTCACTGTACAAAGAACTTCCAATTCATTATTTCATCCACTCTAATATTTATAATAAATGTAAAGATATATTATTGTTTACTATGCAAACAAGGAAAGTAAGACTAAGAGTAACTTGTCCAATATTATAAAGCTTTAGCAGAACACTTCACTTGCTTCATGCTGCCTTTGCTATATTTTACAACCTTCCTACTACAGCTGAAAGACTAACTTCATATACTATTATACCTCCAAAGCAACAGATGTTTCTGAAAACATAATGTACAAAGAGTAATAAGAAGAGAATAAATGAATAATCTTTTACAGTTTTTAGGCATCAATCATTCAGTCATTAACAGCTAAAATGTTCTTCCTAAAAATATTCTGGCAGCATTAGATTTT